GTAATAGTAATAGTAATAGTAATAGTAATAGTAATAGTAATAATAGTAATAGTAATAATAGTAATAGTAATAATAGTAATAGTAATTTTTTTTTTTTTTTTTTTAATAATAATAATAATAATAATAATAATAATAATAATAGACTTGGGCAAGTTTCACTGTATACTAAATTATGCAGTACAAAATGAAGAGAGATGGAACAGAGCAGATGACTTACTTGCCATACACCGACAGTGAACAACATGAAGAACATCATAAATCAATAGCCTTCTAGGGGCCTTTTCCTTTGGTGAGGCTCATTACAGATTACCATTCGAGGTTAGGCAAGAGCTTATCAGCCAATTGTAGATACCATGGAAGGGTGTACTAAACATTTTAAAATGCCTCTATTAAGTGTCAATTTGGTAAGCAAACGAACGTGTTTCCTACCAGGGGTACAATTAAGTAACCCCTAATAAGGAAACACCACCAGGAGCAATAAAAATTCCTCCTTATAATGCCTGTTTCCTTTGAAGAAGAAATGGTGACCGAGTGTAATATACTTATCCCCTTGCTTTTCGCTGGATTATGTCCTCTGATAAAGGTGTCCCTTTAATTGTGCTGTCTCAAAGGATTTTACTGTGTTAACTGCTTTCCAGACTTACGCAGCTGCGCTACTGTAAATTGGTAAAAAGACATGCTAACATTCTGAGTAATACTTAGGAAATTACAGGAACGGATATTTTTATCTTTAATTTGGCTTGTACAGTAGGTTTAGTTTTTAACGGTTTTATTTTCTTCTTAAAATTGTCTACCCTGTGCATAAATTCTAATTATAATATGACGAATTAGCGCGTCCTAACACCTGTGACTGTATGTTTTGTTCAATCCGGAGTTGAAACAGAAGCAACACTTTAAATAGGGGTGATGCTATCATGATTTTCAGGTATATAAAGAGAGTTTACGTAGGCCTACATATTATTAATGACAATTTTTAAGCCAAAAGGCAATATGATTGCGATGTGACCTGATGTATTTTCAATATTCTCTAATAATCTTGTTATAAAGTGGTAAATTTAAACGAAACGGTACTTAATAACCAAAAGTATCATAACTCACTATTGGTCCTCGACTTGCTTATTATATTTTCCTGTCGAGTGGTGTAGATGGTATCTAAACATGTAACAACACAATTGAAAACAAGTTGAGAATATTCAACTGAGGTTTAAGATAAATTTTTCAAGTAAATCAAGTTCTCATTCTGTCATTCGAAAGTGAACGTTAAATAAAATGTAATTTATCTAATATAATTTAATTCAATTGTATTGCTTCATCAGCAATTATCCGCCAAACTCACAATAACAATGAACACAATACAACGATAAACGATAATTATGAATATAATATGCATAGCTTATCATTATAAGGCCTACAAGCGGCGGTTCTAGTATGTGGCGGAATCGGTTAAGAAAGGCTAATAAGAAATTTACTTTGTCAACTGCGTTTTTAATTGAACGAATAACAGCAATTTTCTTTAATAATAATAATAATAATAATAATAATAATAATAATAATAATAATAATAATAATAATAATAATAATAATAATAATAATAATGCATTTCTTATATAACGCAAACATATCAAACGACATATCAATGCGCTTTACAAAAATTTAAAATGTAAAATATCAACCAAAAAAAAATACATTAAAAGTTCAAAGCATTCACAATTTATACAATTTGTCACAAAATGATTATCATAGATCTGATCAATTCACATTATTATATAATTAATGGAATACTAAACTTACCTAAAAATGTTTATGAACGGACGGCATATGTTGATCTACCCTGAACACGGCTGAAGGAGTTTCTGAGTTCTGACTTTGGAATGTGAAATTAAATAGGCCTTTGTAGTTTTGATCATTAGCAGTGTTGACAGGGATTGGCTGCCACATAATTTATTCATAGTGTACTGCTGGGTAAACAAGAACGAGTACTCCGAGCAGAATATTGGCGTTTGAACGCGTTGTGTTTGCAATGCGTATTGATGTGAACACGGGTCCTTTTGCGTACCATGTGTATCGTCAAATCGTTTCCAGCGGTCCTAAACTGAGTCTTTACTTAAATACGTTCAACATATCGTTTTAAACTACCGTAAAACCTCGAATAGAAACTCTAGATTTCTTTTCTTTTTTAGGACCTATGTATGGGCTTCTTTTCGAGATGGGCCTCTTTTCGAGATTACATTTGCAAAACGAGAGGGGGCGTCTTATTTTCAAAATGGTTTTCAACTATGAAATTTGAAATTCTGTTAGTATTTTATGATAAAGTTTGACCATGCCAGTACAATAAAATAATATTGAACTGACACGCTATAATAGTCGAAGATAACTTCAGTCTGATGGTAAGTACTATATGGAAAAGCCAATTATCTTGAATACAAGCCCACAGGTTTAATTTTCGAGATGGGCTTCTTTTTGATATTACTTTTGCAAGGGCTTCTTGGGAGGTTTTACGTTACGGTATATAGGTAATAAATAAATAGGTATAATAATTTTCCGATAAACAACAATTTAATAATTTTGATATTGATAATATTAATGATATTGATGGATTCTACCGGATGCTATCAGGTACCCACCTATATTATTAATTGGGTGGAGAGGAGACAAGGACACAAATTAAATGTGTTCTTAATGTTGAAAGCCAAAAATGTAACTGCTGCGCCAACCTCTGTCCACTGAAATAAAACCATGTGTGATAGCTGGACCTTGATGAAAGGTAACAGATCTATGTCATTTTATCATATATTTCTTTTTTGCAATAGGCATCTTATCTCTTAGAACACTGTGCTTACAGGATTGTTCACTCTTATAAAACTTTCTTAAAATTTCCACCACCAGAGTGCACCGTATATTATTAGCCTGTCGAACTATGAATACATAAATTCTTCACTGTAGCTGACGTAACATATTTCAGTCCAAGAATAAAGACAAGTTTCAAACATGTCTTGTTCTGATTTGTTGTCGTAGTCATTTATTAAGTTTTATTTCCAGAATTCAAAACAAGATAGATAGCCTTTCAAAAATTAGATAAACTACATAAAACATTGAGAGAAAAAAAAATCATGCAAAATTGTAAAAGCTAAATAATTATCAATGTTTATACTTCAGTCAATGTTTAAACATTACCATGTACAGTTTTTGACTTAAAGACAGATAATTGTTCGTTTGTTCAATAGAGCATTTCAACACAACTAAAAATACAAAGAACAGAAACGATAGTTGGAAGGGATGCAAACATATATGAATCATTTTAGATTGTCAATAGGGATATACAGTTCATAAAACAAATTATTTTACTCGTTTTCATATCATCAGTGTGGCATTTTGTTAAATCAAACCTTTGTGATTGCCGTATTGTAGCTTAAGAAAATCAATATGTTAAAACCTGCACTCGATTAGCCACGGTGATAGTACATTATTTTCCAAAACTTACTTTTTGTTGTAAAATCAGGGAAAAAAAACCCCTCTGATTAAAGCAATGCGAAATAGATCGAAACAATTCTATTTTCCATATTTTCTAATTTTGCTACAAAAGTTGGGCCTTCATAAACTACCCGGAATTTTAAGGGTTTCTAAAAGGATAGGAACAGTATTTAACTAGTTCACTTTTGTAGATACTGCTACCGTTCATTAAATTTCCACCACCAGAGGGCGCCGTATATTAGCCTGTCGAACAAGCGGCATAAGTGCTTCACTTTAATTGACGTAACACGTTTAAAAAAAAAAACATGTCCTGTTCTGACTTTTTTTTTGCCGTATTTATTTTTTTTTATTTTCAGAAATCTAAACAAGATATACCATCAAAAAGTAGACCAATCACAATGTATAAAACATTTGAGAAAAAACGGAATCTTGCAAAATTGTAAAAAGCTAACTTATCAAAATATCTACTTCAGTCAATTTTTAAAGATAATCTTGTTCAGTTTTTAATTCAGAGAATTCCAATGTTCTCTTGTTTAATAGAGTATTTCAATTTTGAAACAACACAACTAAAACTCTGAATTTATTGTAAAAATATACAAAGAACAAAACCGATAGACAAGTTGAGGGAACGCAAAAAATGGAAGCATTTTAGACTGTAATAGGGATACATAGGGATATACGGTTCGTGGCAAAAATTCTTGTAATCGTTATCAGTGTAGTATTTAGTTATAAAAACTTTAAGTGATACTCAATAAAATAAAACAAATGCGACATAGATTTTTTTAAAATCAGTTTCACAGATTTCCAGTTCTGCTACAGAAGTTTAAACTTAGGACTACATAAACTGACTGAAATTTTAAGGGTATATAAAAAGATTAGGAATTATTATATTTATTATTTAACTGTTAGTTGCCGAGGACATTGTTACCTTTGCTATAATTTTTATTTCATAGCCGTACTTATGCAAAGAAATTGAAATATTAAATTTGATTAAAGTCTTCTGTTCATGTCATCACAACCAGTGGCAATTAGTTCAAATCATAGATCAGAAACCCAGTGAATGTGAGAGGGTGGCCGGCACTACCATACACACGTCGAACTCCATCGTTATACAACCAGACTTGATCGCCAACATTCAGTGGAACTGTTGTTCCCGAGCTTAACTGTTCATGACCATTAATGTCACCACGATGTACGGTTGCGATTATACGGTCATTCAGCATCATTGTAACATAAGTATTAGCTTGAGAACCGATTGTCAACAAGCTAAACATAAAGTGATATACACCGGAAACCCTACATGTGAATTTTCCGTTATTTTTGTCAAAGTCCTCTCCGATATTAATCTCCATTGTTGTAAATGTGATGATCGAACTTGCAGTTGTAAAGTGAGTTGTGCGTACCGCAGTAAACGCAGATTTACGGGTCTGCGGTAACTCCAATCCTGGCTCACCCTTCGATCCGTTGTTCCCTTTAACCCCTTGTGGTCCTATTCGTCCTAGTGGACCTTGCTTACCTGGAGATCCTTCGCTACCTTTATTGCCTTTAAAACCGTCATCTCCGGGTTGTCCCTTTTGGCCTCTAGCACCTGTTTCACCTCTTGTAAACTCGCCTCTATCACCTTTACTACCAGGTATTCCAGCTGGACCAAATGCTCCAGCCGTTCCAGGGATGCCAGGTTGTCCAGGTTGTCCAGGTTGTCCAGGTTGTCCAGGTGTGCCGCAGCACATATAGCATGAGTTCGGCACAGTTTCTTTTTCAGTTGTTGTGGTTGTCGTAGAAACGGTTGTTGGTACGCAAGTAAGCAGGCCTACCAGTAGTGCACAAGATGCTAACGGGTTCATTCTGGTTCTGCGTAATGAGAAAGAGAGTTCATTGTTTAGTAATTATTATTATTGGTAACACTGCCTGCTCTACAGTCTGCAGATTATTTGCAGTCTGCACACTATCTTTGTGTTCGAACACATGTACGCATTCTGGTATCACCACTATGCATTAATTGGTACTGGAATCCTTACTCGTAATGTCTTGTTCTATATAACCCAAGTGGCGGATCCAGCGGGGGGGGGGCACGGGGGCCCGTGCAGCCCCGTCAGTCCCGCCGAAAAATAAAAAAAGAGGGATAAAAATTGAGAAGTGTTAAAGGGAGGAAAGGGGAAGAAATGGACGTGTGTCAATGAGGGTCAGTGGCGGACTCGCCGCCAGCCAGTGGGCGAAAGGAGAGCTCGATTATTTTACCACTCACTAATTTTGATTTTTCTATTGATCAGGCCCGTAACCAGGGGAAATCGAGGGGATCGGACGATCCCCACAGAATAGGGAGTTCCGCTCTACTAGACCAACACAAAACACAACTTTAGTGCGATTTATGCATTTGTCAACGTGTGCCTTGGCCTTATAAGCCTATGGCATGCACTGTAGTTTTTATGTGCGACTATACTCAAAAGACGTTCTGCACAGTAAACAAAGATGATGATGATGTTCTATATGATGATCCTATCTGTAGACTTCCTACTATATTTGATCTACTAACAATATTGCATGGCATAGCCTACTGCCGATTCTTCAATATTTGCACATATCAAATTGATTCAGTTTTAATTCACGAAAATTGTATAAATTCATTTGACAGCAGCTAAAAAACACCAGAAGAGCACTCAGAATAGTTTTCAACATTTTTCAAGAGAATCCCTGGACCCCAAAAGTTCCACTCAGATTGAAAAAGATCCCCCCCCCCCCCATTACTAAAGCTGGTTACGGACCTGTTGATTGACGACGAACACAACGTTACGCTATATCCCCTACGCCGATATTTTCCCACGATTTCATAAGCCAGGATGTATAAAAGACCAAAAGACGGAGACCTAAGACGGGGTTTTTTTTAGCCATTATTACGGAACGTACCGTAGTACACTGCTAGAACAGCTATCCATGCTC